AAAGAGTGTTTCGAGGAGCCAGGCAGGCTGTGCATCGGGCAGGCAGAGCACAGGGGTTGTCTCAGTGGCAGCACAGCATCAATTTACCTTGAGGAGAGCAGATTACCTTTTTATCTCAGCTGTGTGATAACAGAACATAAGAAGAAGGCTGCTTTTATATCTATTTAAAAAAAAAAAAAAAGTGCAATTTTTTTTTTTGGGTCAAGAGCAATTTTTATGCAGCTGCTGAGGTGTCAGAAGGACTTTCTGCTGAGCGGGGACTGAGCAAGCTGGCTTTCCTCTTGCTGACACTGTGATCAAGTTACTCACCCTGTGCATGAATTTGCCCTGCTGTGCAGTAAGGACAACAGCGCTGAGCACTCTGAAACGCTTTGCGTGTCTTGGATCAAAGGAGCTAAGAAATAAATATTAATAAAAGTGGATTTATAATGTATCTGTGCATGACTTGATGCATTCATTAGCTGGTTTGATTTTTTTTTTCTTTTTCAGCTGAGTTATGAGATGTGAGGGTAAGGCAGCTAATGAGAAAAAGACCTGAATATTGTATTTTTATGAGCTAAAATCAGTGTAATAGTACAACCCTCTGAGGAAAACAAAACCCAAACAAAGGGCTGAGTCCTCGGCTCCATGTAAGCAGGAGGACTTTGTGGATATCCTAGGTGAAACCTAGCAAGCAGCTGCCAAGGGAGGAGCCTGCAGCAAAATGGCTGGGGACTTCTCACGTGTAACCTTTCTCCATGTGTGGGTCCCTGGGTGTAGCCTTTCTTCCCCTTGGCACTCACAGGTTAGCATCTCTCTAAAGTCTTGGTGAGCAGCAGCTTGGGTGGTGAATCAACCACAGAATCATAGAAAGCCAGGTTGGGAGGGACCTCAAGGATTGTTCAGTCCAACCCTTTAAGGTAAAGAAATACAGTTTAAATGAGGTGGCCCAGCACCCTGCCAAGCTGAGCCTTAAAACTCTCTAAGGTTGAGGAATCCCAGTCTTGGACTTGATGATCTTAAGGTCCTTTCCAACCTTGATGTTTCTACAATCCTATGATTCTAATTCATCACTTCCTTTGAAAGACTATTCCAATGTCTTAGTGCTCTCATGGTGAAAATTTTCCTCTGGAGTCCAATCGAAATCTTCCCAGGAGGAGTTTGTATCCATTATCCTTTGAACGTTCCCACTGCCCAGAGTGGAGCTGAAGGTTGTTCATCAGCCTGTTGGGTCAAACCAAATCTATAAATACTCTCGCTTGTGGAAATGGTCGATAGTGGGTGCTCGGGAAAGGGCTGATATCACAAGACGTGCAAAGCGATCCCTCCTATTTCTTACTTTCTCCTAGCAGTTTTTCAGGACGCGAAAAGTAGATATTGAGTTTGTTTCATTGGTACAAGTGGAATGTGGCCTTAGGTGGTGCTACAGGTTCATGACATTAAACTCGGATGCATGAAAAAGTACATTCGTTTCCTTGACACAAACATACCTGACAACAATTTAACTAGGTGGCTCCCAACTCTAGCAGAAAACAGGAGTGGAAAGTAATTCTGCCTTGTTTCCTAGAATGTGGATCCTCTTAGGGAGTTTAGTTTTGGGTTATTTGGAGGGTTTGCTCTTGTATTGAGCATGGCACTTAGTGCCATGGTCTAGCCAGTGTGATGATGTTGGGTCATAGACCGGACTCGATGATCTCAGAGGTCTTTTCCAGCCTCAATAATTCTGTGATTCTGTGAAAACAGCTTTTTTAAAAGCCTGTTGGTACTCGAATTATTTAATATCTGCAGAGCTGACAAGCAGATAGTCCCTGCCCAGCAGGACTGACGAGAGGTCTATAGGATTACCACTGACATGGAGTAAGTGGATAGGGGTCAACTTGCTTGCTGTGTCTTCCAAAACAAAATCAGAGAGGTCTCACATGGAAGAGGTGACAGATCTGAAATGTGCAAAAGGACACAGCTCTGCATGCTATTTGTAGCTAAACTCTTCCTTTGAGATCATGGATGCTAAAATTTCAGGAAGCAACCGGACGTGCTCTCAGGAGATAAATTCCACTGCAAACAGCCCAGCTACAAATCACTGCAGCTGAGGGACCTCCTGAAGGATAATATATATATATATACGTGTATATATATATATATACACACACACACACCTCTGGTATGTTCTTAACCCTTCTTTAGTCACTCCCTTTTCACCAGTCTCCAAGGTTGGGGGATGTGTATTTGATAGTGGTTATCTACAAGGAAAAATATGCCACAAGCCTTCAGACAAGGCTTTGCAGAGCTCAAAACCCTCTCTTAGGCATCACTTTCTAGACTTGTACACTGCACAGAGAGAAATCTTTACCTGGGTGGGGTTTTCTTCTTGTGTCATGGTTCCGTAACCTATTTTTTGAATTCAGCCTGTCACCAACAAGCTCATGAAACAGAGGGATAGCACCATGGGTGTATGCTGTGTGGAGCGTGCCCTACTCTTATTACCTTGCAGGGAGGGTCATATGTGAAAAAGAGATGGCTTGTAACAAGAAATTTGACTTGTACCAACAATTTGGGTCCAAAATCTCAGCAGATGCTGAACCTTCTGCAGCCCTGACTGTAACTGTCCTCTCTTTGGTTCCAGGGGGATTATGTGTGGATGGACCTCAAAACCGGACGGGAATTCGATGTCCCCATTGGAGCGGTGGTTAAACTGTGTGACTCTGGACAGATCCAGGTTGTGGATGATGAAGGCAATGTACGTACAGAGGGTTGTGGTGATGCTTCTTCAGCTCTGGGGCCTGCCTAGGCTGGGGGTCATAGGGTCATGATGGTTGACTCTGTCTTGGACTTCTTGTACATCCTTAGGGGTCAACTGTGCCAGTTTTCTGTTTGTAAAGACAAGATAACGTTGTGTCCCTACATTTGTGGCTGTACTAGGAGTGGAAGGTCGAGAAGTTTCTCAAGCACAATAATAGCAGAAGCCTCCAAAGCACATTTAGATAGTGCTTTGAGAAAAACCACCACAACCTGCTATTCCTCTGCTATTATCCAGTCCATCCAGACCTTCCACCAATACAGGATGTGCCCAAACATCAGTTCTCCTTTAATTTTCCACCTCTTCTTCTGTGGAGTAGTGGCTGTTTTAAAGTAATGTCTGTATCGCATGCAGAGAGTCATGAGGTTCTGTGTCCTTTTAATTTTTTTTTCCCCAGATTGAGATAATTGTAAATGCTCTCATTCCCTTCAAGGATGGTGCAAAGAGATTCGATTCAGCGGGTTCCTTGTCTCCCATTTGAAGCCCTTTAGAAAGTGAGAACAACACTCTGCAGTTAAAAGTGTGATTTTG